GGTACAGGCTGGCTTATTTACAGACTGACGGAATGTGGTTGACATATTGATGAGTGCGGCGTTATACAACAAACAAACATAGAAATCATACGCACCACACAAGCACACCCCTTTCTTTCTTCCGCCACCCCTCCTCCCATATCCACATCGAACCCGCTCGCCCCAATCCGAACCCCATCCATCCCAGAATATCAAAGGTGAGTGAGTGAGTTTAGTTTTACGCCGCACTCAGCAATATCCCAGCTATATGGCGTCGGTCGGTAAAATAATCAAATCTGGACCAGACAATCCAGTGATCAGCAGCATGAGATCGATCTGCGCAACGAGCCTGACCACCCGATCCCGTTAGTCGCCTCTTACGACAAGCATGGGTTACTGAAGACCAATTCTAACCTGTATCTTCACGGACCTACATACTGCATGTAGTTAGTGATATAGTGATTATCTTATATGAACCCGGATCATTCATGAAGATCAATATTCTAACCCAGACCTTCGCTGGTCGAATATCAAAGGACCTTATCAAATGACCCTTTACTGTGCTTAAGGTTCAGGTTTCTTCATGTTTCCTTTGGGGTAACCTAGTGTTAAAGCGTTCGCTCGTAACGCCGAAGACCCGGGTTCGATTCCCCACGTGGGTACAATGTGTGAAGCCCATTTTGGTGTCCCCCGTCGTGATATTGCTGGAATATTGCTAAAAGTGGCGTAAAACTAAATTCACTCACTCACTCACTCATTTGAATTTCGACTGGTGGCAAGGTGATCCGTTCTTCACTTCAGGATTTCTTCCATCTTTAGACTGTTTCTTTAATATTTAAATGAAGTAGTTTCGGGGATTTTGAAAAAATAGATTTTCTCCTACATAAAATATAATACCACCTCCCATTTCTTTTTGGAGGTGTCAGACTATTTTACGAGCGCATCTTTTGCTTTAGCGCCGGTCGCACGTTTTTTTAAATTATTATTTTAAGCCTTAGAGAGTTTGAGGCAGTCACGACAACATGTCGGTAGGAGTATACGAGGAATATATTTTACACAATGCGGGGGAATGAGCCCAGATCTTCTGAATATGAAGTTTGTAGGGCTGCGTAATATAACCGGTTTAACGATATTAACCAGTTCAGACATGAAAACGATACGTATTGCGATACGCTAATTGACAACCGGTATTTTGACATGCATTCGGAAAACTTCGAAACACTCGGAAACCTTGATGATCGTGGCAACTGTGGTAATGGTGGTGGGAATGATTGTGGTGAAACTTACATTTAAATATTATCTATATTATTATTTTGTCATGATTAAACGTTTTTATGAAAGCTTAATCAACCATAGTGATTTTGTTGCGTTTTTGCTTTATAAATAAAGAGTTAACTCGATTATAAGTAGTTTATTGTTTAAAAAACCGTCTTGCAATATATTGCAATACATATCGCAATACATGCTTTCGCATCGCATATATCGCAATATGAAAATTCTCTGCAATACCCATCCCTAGAAGTTTGTGGTCTTGTGCATATAGCGCAGGTCACAGATCGGTTGAAGTTAAGCAGTGTTCGACAAGTGCACGTGTCTAGCTTGGATGGGTGACTGTGTTTGGCAGCTTGACCTTATGTGTTCTATTGTACAAATGTTTTGCCTTTTTGGTTAGACATTTTTAAATGGAGAAAAAATAATGTAAGTAATACAGTATATGATAGTTACAGAGATATTGTACTCTATGGTCTGAAGACGGAGTTAAAAGATAGTGAAGTAATCCATTTTGTTAGGTGAGGTGAGGTGAAATTGGGTTTAACGTCGTACTTGAGAATATTTCGCTCATATGACGACGTGCATGCGTGTGTATGTGTATGTGCGGCTGCTTGTACTAGCCCAGACTTAAGCTGGTTTTATAGTGCTAGCCCACTGAGATACCATGCCGCATTGAAGCATGAATACCCCCCTCAGACACATTATACTGACTCCGAGCCGACCAGTCCTTGTTGTACCCATTAATGCCGAGCGCCAGGCAGGGACCAACAAGTACCATATTTTAACGTCTTTTGGTATGACGCGGTCGGGGATCGAACCCGCGACCTTCCGCTCTCCGGGCGGACGCTCTAACCACTACACCACGGAGGCGGTAATCTATTTTGTAATTTTATTAGCCAAGTTTATAGTATACAGATGAAGGGTAACAGTGACAAGGTGTAATTTTAGAATGTTTGAAAGTGAGTTGAAAACACAATATAAAATTTAAAACAAAAACAAAATTCAAAACACATGTCATTAACACAGGCTTTAGAAAAATTATTGGATGTTGGAAACATATGATTCGTGTACACATCAAACAGGAGTATGTAACATCGTAGAATTTTAAAAGGTAATAAAGATGCAGAATATAAATATAATTTAGATCATATGGATAACAGTAAAAAGGTTTTTTAAAAAGGGTTAAAGACATTGTTTTCTCTTTGGGTTTGTTTGGTTAAGCCTAGGTTTCGGCGATGTAAATATGTTTATCCATCTGTTTAAACAAAGGTTGTCTGATACTTTGCTACTGATCATGACAGTTGTCTGTAAATGAATCTTCGAAATGTCCATATTAAAACACTATTTTTATATTGAGAAATATCTATCTTATGATATTCCTTGCCATTTTAGAGCAGTTCTTTCACGGTTTAGTAATTTTTAACTAGCAATTGAAACTGGTTGTAACTTCGAATATAGTCGAAGGCTGTGTATATATACACAAGAAACTCTGACCAACACATACAACCCAATGCTTTCCGGTTTCTACGCATTTCGCCGACCGACCTCAGGTTCCTGGTTTGTGACAGGTTTGCGAGATGTCATTGAGAACTCTGACCTGACAAAATACAACTTTCTCTTGTCAGCACCCCCTGACATAGCTCACGATAGAATGAACCCTTGGAGCATATCTGGGACATGATTGGTCGTGGTGTGAAACAAAGGGATCGTCCTGTACAGAACCTGGCCCAATTGGAAGCTGCTTTACACGAGGAATGGCGTAGACTGCCCCTTCAGAGGATCAGGAGGCTGACAATGGGTATGAGGAGGGGAGTGCTGGCTATCATACATCGTGGTGTGCAACAAAGGGATCGTCCTGTACAGAACCTGGCCCAATTGGAAGCTGCTTTACACGAGGAATGGCGTAGACTGCCCCTTCAGAGGATCAGGAGGCTGACAATGGTTATGAGGAGGGGAGTGCTGGCTGTCATACATCGTGGTGTGCAACAAAGGGATCCCCCTGTACAGAACCTGGCCCAATTGGAAGCTGTTTTACACGAGGAATGGTGTAGACTGCCCCTTCAGAGGATCAGGGGGTATGAGGAGGAGAGTGCTGTCTGTCATACATCGTGGTGTGCAACAAAGGGATCCCCCTGTACAGAACCTGGCCCAATTGGAAGCTGCTTTACACGAGGAATGGCGTAGACTGCCCCTTCAGAGGATCAGGAGGCTGACAATGGGTATGAGGAGGAGAGTGCTGGCTGTCATACATACTGTCACATGGAGGTTACACTGGTATTGACCTTGACTCGTGTAAGACACGCAAACTGACAGTTTAAATGTTAACATTCATCAATAACTTCAACCTTAAACATTCAAGGACCATACTTGTACAGACATGGTTTTGTATGAAAATCAGTGTTTTGTTTTTTTAAATTAGCAATCATCATAAAATCAACATGGATTCCAATCATTCTGTCGTTTTTTATGAGTCAAAGGATCATACGGGTCAGAAAAATTCATGTTTTTCCATAGTGGTCACCACAAGAAGTTTTATGTACGTGTTGAAGAAATATTGCAAAAATATTGGTATTATTGTATATATATTATGTATCAAAGAGTTTAGTCCATATTGAGGATGAATTGCATGTAATTTTCATAAGTGAATCTTACTCAACACTAAGTCAGAAACACTTAGTATGTTACTGATTATGTTACTAACGAAACCACACACTACTTACACTTTGGTAACTATAAAACTGACACTATAAGGCTTGTTACTTTATATGCGCGTCTTGTGTCAGATACATCACAAAAAAATAGATATTGAAATATTTTTTTCAAGGAAAAAGATATATGTATTTATTTTGGATCGGCGGCCAAGCTATTATTGAAATAGATCTTTCTAGTTATCTGTCATTTGTTTGTTTTTATCTTTTCGGTTTCTTTTTCGGCTTTCTTAAAGATTTTATTTTGTTGTTTGGGGTGTTTTTCTGCTTTGTTTTTTGTTGTTGTTTTATTGGGGAGGCGGGGGTGTGTGTGGGTGGGGTGGGGGTGTTGTTGTTTTGTTGTGTTATCTATTTTGTGTGTGTGTTTGTTTTTGTTGTTTGTTTTGTTCGGCGGATCCAGGGGGTGGGTGTGTGTGCAGGGGTGCCCCCCTCCTTTTGTCCTGAAAGTTTATTAAATGACCATTGAAACTCTCGTCAAAATGAAGTGTGCACCCCTTCTTTCTCAATATTGAGCACACACACACACATCTCAAAAAGCGGCCCCCGCCCCTGTTGTTTCGTATGTTTTTGTTGTTTGTTTTGTTTGTGTTTTTAGGGAGGAGTCTCCGACAAGAACTTCAAGGTCATCCATGTAAAGGAGGTGAGTAATTGGTGTTGGGAAGGAGGTTCGGGATGATTGATATCCCCCCTCTTTCCCGATATAATTTCCAACAATCATTCATCATACATTTCAAACAATCATTCATCATACATTTCAAACATAGTTCATATTTGCCTTTGGTCACAATTTATTCTCAGAGCATTTCTATTATGTGGAAAGGGTTTTGTCGCTTCTGTTAAACCTGAAGTGTAATTACTTGTTTCATTTCAATATGACGGCAGACTTTTGACACGCCGTGTCGCTCCCTCGAGTACCGGTCAAGAGGAACCACAACATCGCTATTTAAGTGGAAACCGATCATGCTCATTCGAGCTCTTGTGCCGTTTTAGTTTTATAGAATGAAGCCAGTTTCGGTTTTTTGCCGTTTTGATAAAAAACCGTATTGTACTTCCGGTTGCGGTGAACACTCTATGGAAGAGTTAAAATAGTCAAGACACGAAGCAGAAAAGTGCTGACGCACTTGAGGTAGTGTCCATTTGGGTATTTGCAATAATCTTCAATTAATCTGTTCTTTGAGAGAGGTGTATGTCAGAGATGTTTTCCTAACTATTGTCGATCAGATTCGGGAGTTGCATCGGACGAAGCTGCGTTGGTGCCATCAAACCAACTCAAAGAGTTCGTTTCTTGCGTTTAAAACTTAAGTTAAAAAGTTAATGCAACATGTAATATTTCAAAACAGGAATGCACTGTCGGTTCTTGTTAGAAATGGGAGATTGATGGAATGTATCTAATTGTTGTGAATTGTTCAAACATGTTTGAAATTGAATGTAGTGCAGTGTCAAACTCGTGAAACTGCTGATAGGCTGCATATTAATATATTCCCTTGTCAACAGTCGAAACCATCTTGCTGGTTGCATAGTAGGATACTGTTCCTAGCTTCAGCTGTGTGCAAACAAATCTCCGAAATTGAATTGCAATATTTTGCAATGACGATATTAGGGCTGCAACGAATACACTATTTGGCAAATATGATATGTATCACTAATATAGGGTCAGGAATATGAATAATTATTCACGAATACTGTATTCAGACCTACCATACAAACGGTGAACAAATCATCAAAACTGAACTCATATACACCAAAACAGAACAAAAACCACCAAAACTGCAACAATATCCTCTAAAACCGAAACAATACATCTGTAATGGAAGACTAATCGTTTGAAATGGAAACAAAACTCGCATATCAGCTATAAGAGCGCGCAAGAACGGTCGCCGAGCATACAAAACTGCATTCATAGCATCCCAACACGGCAGTCATAGCATCCCAAAACGGCATACAAATTATCGTCAAAGACGGCGGCGAGGGGAGACGAATAGGCTTTGGTACATAATTGTTTTTCGTCACTATGAGTCTAATCTTGAAAATTTGATATCGGGATGTAGTACATAAACCCCCTATTGTAGTAAGCTTCAAACCTATGTCCATACTTCTTAGTGTCAGGCTTGCAATTCTACACAATGTGGTCCCTTTTTCGACCGAATAGGATTTCTTGTCAACATGCCGTTTGTTCTGTTTCTCTTCAGTTTTGTAAATACAGTGTTCATAGCGTCACATTCAACATTACTATATTTTAGTGATTTAAAAAGTTTACAAAAACTTTGTTCATTCTCCGTGAATTGCATATCTAAGTGATCATTTCTACTTTGACTTCAAAAACTGCCTTTTTTTTAATTTCTCAAACTTGTATTCACAGATTCCCTAGAGAGACGTGTCAGTCCTCTCATCATCTGACATATTCTTCTTAGTTTGTATGTTTGTATGCCACCGCTTCACACTGCACGTATGGTCATGTCCTCAGACGAAGATCTTCTAGTTTCATCTTACTTTTATGAAGTCATTCAGTGAATATATTTCTTTCAGATATCTCTGTGATACCGAATCTTCCGAAAATTCCAACGTTTGAGTGTATGCCATATAAAGAGAAGTTCAAAAATTGGGTAACATTGCGTTCTCATCAGAAAAGGAAACATGAACTTGCTTATAGTTCAACTGTGAATTGTGTCAGGAAGATTTTTAGCATTCTGCAATTTTATCTTTTCCATGTACTTCAAAGTATTCCATGCAATCCCAAACATTTTACATCATTTAACAAAAAATTAAGCTTAACTTGAGGTACAAACATGCGTCCGTCTTTCTTATTGTAAGTCTCAAGAAGTCGCCTCCTGTGGACTTGAAACGGAAATTCCTTCCCTAATCAGTGGATTGAGTTTGCACTCGTACACTTTAAAAATGATCACTTATATATATGCAATTCACGGAAAATGAACAAAGTGTTTGTAAACTTTTTAAATCACTAAAATATAGTAATGTTGAATGTGACGCTATGAACACTTTATTTACAAAACTGAAGAGAAACAGGACCACGGCATGTTGACAAGAAATCCTATTCGGTCGAACGAGGGACCACATTGTGTAGAATTGCAAGCCTGACACTGAGAAGTATGGACATAGGTTTGAAGCTTACTACAATAGGGGGTTTATGCACTACATCCCGATATCAAATTTTCAAGATTAGACTCAAAGTGACGAAAAACAATTATGTACCAAAGCCTATTCGTCTCCCCTCCCCGCCATCTTTGACGATTTGTATGCCGTTTTGGGATGCTATGACTGCCGTGTTGGGATGCTATGAATGCAGTTTTGTACGCTCGGCGACCGTTCTCTCACACTCTTGTAGCTGATATGCGAGTTTTGTTTCCATTTCAAACGATTAGTCTTCCATTACAGATGTATTGTTTCGTTTTTAGAGGATATTGTTGCAGTTTTGGTGATTTTTGTTCTGTTTTGGTGTATATGAGTTCAGTTTTGATGATTTGTTCACCGTTTGTATGGTAGGCCTGTGTATTGTTGTCAAGTGATTGATGCACAATATGTACGCCCATGTTGATTGATAATTTGTCACAGCAATAACCAGTGATCTCATGACAGTCAAATTTGGTATGTAATAGTTATCGTTGACAGTACCATGTGCAGCCTTGGCAAACTAACATGACTTGCCCTACTGCCAGGCTAGTACATGTTCCATTCTTGCATATCTCATTTTGGAAAAGGACATAAGGGTTCAAGTATAAGACTCTCCCTTTAAAAAAGCGCTTATATTCATTATTATTCAGTTCTGGTGACCACAAATAACGAATTGAACTGATGAAGGGCTACGGTTCGATTCACCGAATTTGCGAGTGAATCGTAACAGCACATTTGCAGCCATGCTGCCATCAACGTATTCACGTAAGACATTTGGGGGGTGGGGTAGCCAAATGAAGATGCTGAAGACCCTGGTTCGATTCCCTACGTGGGTACAATGTGTGAAGCCCATTTCTGGTGCTCCTGATGTGATATTGCTGGAATATTGCTGAAGGCGGGGTAAACCAAACTCACTCACTCACTTATGACATTTGATGGTCTTTGATGATTTGACATTTTGCTTCTCTCTGATTGGAGATAGATAAGTATTTCTCCATTGTGTACCCGTGAAGGTCCGTGTTGGAATGAACCTTCAGCAACCCAAGCTTGTCGTAAGAGGCAACTAACGGGATCGGGTGGTCAAGCTCACTGGCTTGGTTGACACATGTCATCGGTTCCCACTTGTGCAGATCAATGCTCATGTTGTTGATCACTGGATTGTCTGGTCCAGACTCGATTATTCACAGACCGCCACCATATAGCTGAAATATTGCTGAGTGCGGCATAAAACTAAACTCACTCGCTCACTCTCCATTGTGTGAAGTAAAGTGTAGCAGTTCATGCATGCCACTGCAGACTGTATGTTGAGTTTTATAGACTATGGTCGCTCGTCATCCCAGACCTCTTTTCGATTCCCAACATGGATACAATGTGTGAAGCCCATTTCTGGTGTTTCTCACCATGATATAGCTGGAATATTGCTAAAAGTGGAATGAAATCATCCTCACTGTAAGAGTCCTTTTGTCCAACTTGATTGATTTCTCTTTACAGGTGTTTATTTTGACGAGCAGTAACCTAGACGGAGCACATTGTGAAAGAAGCTCGTGCCGCCATCATGGTCCAAGCCAGGGTAAGCTACAGTACCTACACTCAACACTATACCCCATGGTGAGTCACGATGGTACTGATGGATCCAACCCTTGGTGGCAGATCACCCCCGAGGACCACGACAGATAACTACAGACCTCAAGAACCCACCCAGAACACTGACTGTCCTGGATCATTGGATACCACAAGACCGCAAGCAAGATCTGTCGCCAAAGGAAATGTGAGACGCAAGCTTGATGAAGCTGAGAACACAGATGTTGGTACCGATTTTGAACATTGTGTGGTGTTGCTGGATGGCACCAGTGTTACTTCCATGCGCAAGACTGGGGATCGTGATGCCATATATATTTATGCCGCAGGTGTAAATTCATCACAGGAAGCATCTTCAGTGGATGAAGATCATGATGGGGGATGTCTGAGCAATGGGTTGATGAGGCAGGGTGAAAGCGTTCAGGCAGGTCGGGAAAGTAAGGCTGGTAATGTGGGCTTAAAGGATTCTGAAGCTGAGAGTCAAACATTTCGCTACCAGTATGATGGATCTGATCACAGTCTTTTTGATATCTCTTTGCCTTCTGACGGACTCCCTGGGAGAGGTGGTGGTGCGAGGGACATGGTGGTTGATACTGTCACACCAGCAGAAGTTGCTGGGCAGGAGTCAGTGGGTGGCGTCAGTCGGACAATTGTCTGTAGGGACAAGTTGTTGGTTTGTGAGGGTAGGAAGTGTGGGGAGATTGTGAATGTTGATCCTGCAGACAGCGTTGAACCAGCTTCTGAAGCTGATAAGACAACGCAACTGGAAGGAAAGGTCCTACAAAATCACGCGATTCTTGTTGACGGTGTCGAGACAGTGTCTACAGATGGCAGCCCTTCACAACTTGCTAACAATGTCCTCAGAAATTCTTATATCCTTAATGGCAGTGTTGATTTACAGTCTGTAGATCAAAAACCGACACAAAATGTCAGTCAGGATTATCATTATCAGTTGAAGGACACTGAAGATGAAACTGATGAATTCACCAAAGGAATTAATATTTCTGAAAGAAATGCTTCAAGTTCTCAGGACTTCCATGATGACACTGTTTCAGACCTTTCCATGGAATCCCAGGATGACAGCGATGATGAAGATGTTCTTCGAGAGAAGTCATCTGCTGCATGCAACACTATTGCTACCATCAATGCCAGTACAACTGATTCATGCAACTCAGAAACAGCGAAAAATAAGAATAGAATTCACCACATTTCATCTTCCAGAACATCACAGGACTGTACAGAAGAATCTCATGTTCAAAATGCAGAGTCCTTGGAGACGGGTCAAGGTCAAGTTTTGACCTTGTGCCATGATGGTGACCTTGGACCAGAAATTGAAGCCAGTTCCAGAAAGACTGTTGATGAAAGTGGTAAGGTGCATGATGAAACTGCATCTGAAACTGATACTTTCATGCCAATTGTCATCAAAACAGAACTTGACTTGTCTCTCTCTGAAATTCCTATTGATACGAAAAACTGGTCATCATATAAAGGAAGAAGACGGAAGATTAAGGAAGAAGAAACGGACTCCCCACTGCCTACAAAGCGAATAAAGAAGAATTTGAAATCCCATGTTAATCAAGTTAGAATTGGTTCCACAAGGTCCAGTGATGCTTTGATACCAGCAACCAAATCAGCTTCTAAATCCTATTCATGTAAGGTGTGTGAAAAGTATTTTTCTCAGGAAGCAAAACTGAATATGCATTTGAAACTCCACAATCAGAATGGTGAACTTCAGTGTGCGACGTGCAATAAGAAATTGAAATCAGTGGGTCGGTTCAAATCCCACGAGTGCAAAAGCAGTGTCTACTTTGAATGTGGAATTTGTGAAAAGGTTTTTACTGAGAGGGACAAGCTGAAAGATCACGTGGAAAACCATCGAGAAATTCCAGAGATGAACTTTGAATGTGGGGTCTGTGAACTGACCTTCACTGAGGCCATTAGTTTGAACGGTCACTTGCACACCCATGAAGGGAAGAAACATTTCCAGTGTAAGCTGTGTGAAAAGACCTTCAAGAGCTCGAAATCTTTGGAAAATCATAGCCAGAAGATGCATCAAGAGACGTTTAAATGTAAAATTTGTGCAAAGCAGTTCAGAAAACAAATTAGCCTTGATGCGCATTCTAAACTGCATGTCAAGAGACAGAGGTTTGGGTGCAAGAAATGTGGGAAAAGGTTTTCCAAGTTGATAGATATGAGGATCCATTTGAAGACTCATAAGCGATGGAAGTGTAGAAGTTGCGGTGAAATTTTTGAAACCAGAACAGAACTGTTGGAGCATAAGGTCGTTCATGAGACGATGTACGAGTGTGCGAATTGCGACTTTACCTGCATCTCCGAGGCGGTGATAAAGACGCACATGATGTCCCACGAGGAAACAAAGTCGTTTTCTTGTTCAGAATGTGATAAGAGCTACAAGTCCTTGAAATGGTTGCAGAATCATTGTGAAAAGAGTCATAGAAAACAATACAAGTGTGATGTTTGTTCGGAGGAGTTTGAGGATGTAGCGAGTCTGTCTAGTCATTCTAAACTACACACAAGCGAAGACAATTTCAAGTGTGAAGCATGTGGGCAGAGGTTTGATGATAACAAACATCTGAACAAACACATGAAGATTCATAAAATGTGGAAATGTCGGAGATGTGATATTGACTTTGAAACTCAAGAGGAACTGAAAATTCATCGGGATCAACATAGAGACCATTTCGATGTGTTGCCTGTGATTTTGCAAGTACTACGGCAAGCGAGTTAAAAAAACATATGTTAGGTCATGACGACATTGATGAATTTATGTGTAAAATCTGTGATAAAACATTCTTGACAGCAACAGCTTTGTACAACCATCAACTTACCCACATTAACCTTAAAAAATTTACCTGCGAGTACTGCGGCTCAGGTTTCACTCATCGCTCGACATTGATTATACACAAAAGAGTCCATACAGGCGAGAGACCATATCCTTGCACCATGTGTGATAAGGCCTTCATTGAAAAAAGTGCATTAAGATCTCACATGATCTCACACAGTTCAGAACGAAAACATAAATGTGAGCTGTGCGGAAAAACGTTCCCCCATAAATGTAGTTTGGTGAGACACCGAAGAATCCACAATGAAGAAAAACCTTTTCAGTGTGAGCAGTGTAAAAAGACATTTGGACAGTCCACGCAGTTGAAGAGACACAAACGGACTCACACGGGGGAAAAACCGTACAAGTGCGAAGATTGCGGACTCCGATTCGGATATGTTGAAACACTACGGTCACACCGAAGAATTCATAATGATATAACAATTTACTGTAAGCTGTGCGACAAGTCCTTCTCAACGACGGTACATTTGAAACGGCACATGAAGACTCACACTGGTGAGGTGGACTTTGTGTGTGATGTGTGCGGGGAAGGGTTTATCAGGAAGGATTATTTTATGAAGCATTTTAAATCTCATGAAAAGAAGTCAGAGAAGGAACAAGCCAGCAACGTAAAAAATAGAGTCAAGTTAATGCCAAAATGTAAGTTATAATGTATCGACCGAAAGACATGATGAAAACAGAGGCATTTAATGTAAATGCACATTTTCATACAAATATGTGTACACCTATTTGATGCGATTGACATGAAGCTTTAGAAACCGTTGAACTTCCATGCCTGTAAAGTTATATTCTCAATGGTCTCAACCACTCAAATTCATTTTCATGGATTAGTTTTGGGACTTTATGGCAGATACAGTTTTTTGGGGTTTCACTTCCATCTGCATGGCAACCTGAATATTTTAACCTTGGTTTGATGTCAATCATCTGTTGGCTTTTCCGCATGTGAAATGTTATGTGTGGATTTTAATGGATTTGTATACAGAGCCGTAACCTAAATTCCTGGTTAACCTTGATTCGTGGAAAGCAGTAATCACCATTCTATCTCGTAAGTGAAGTTTCTTATAATGTTGTAGGGGTGGTGGGGTGGCCTAGTGGTTAAAGCGTGGAAGGCCCGGGTTCGATTCCCCACATGGGTACATTTGTGAAGCCCATTTCTGGTTACCCCCACCATGATGTTGTTGGAATATTGATAAACTAAACTTATATTCACTCGCTCACTCTTATGACATCACGAAGCCGTCCCGGTACTTTTGATGTACATACAATGCCACGCCTCTGTGCAATACAGGTATGTACACTAAATCTAACTGTCCAGAAATGAGAGAAATAGCCCAAGATCACTAATACCACTAATACCAAATTGTGTTTTTAGGAAATGTCCAGTAAAAAATATACTGTTAGCACCAACCTTCTCACATCTCGTAGTCTGCTTTCCTACGTTCCTTACTTACTTCAATGGACTGTCGTACATAGATATATATAGTAACTGACTACGTATTCCACGAAACAAGGTGATGTCACATTTTTGTGCACATGAATGGGTGATGATTGCAAATGGCTTCCGTAAACAACCGTTTCAGTCACAAGTGGAGAATTAGGCATGTTCAGTTTGTTGAATCAATGAATAAAATAATCTATCAGGATACAAAATGATATCGTGCATTTAAAATTTGATTTTCGCTGCACTTCCCTTATATCCACGGAGCAAGGTAACTCGAGTGTAGGTGTTGTAACAGGTCAGTAGGGCTGCAACGATTCACCCAGACTTCGATTTGATTCAATTTTCGATATTGGACCCCGATTCGATTTTTTCAATATGATTCTTCATTCAAGTAGAAACATTAGGTTTCATATAACTCTCTCGCCTTTTTTGCATGAAAGCTATCATCAACTTGGAGTTTTCTACTAATGACAATGCTCATTGGATAATTAGCCCAGCGTCAACTAATCACATTCGCCTTATTTTAGCGCTCGAAACTGCTCAAGTTGGATCCTCGCTGTGTGGAAACAATTGAACAGATATTCAAATATCGAATCGAAATAGTGATAATGGTTGTCGATAATCGAAACTAAGATGTCAGATTCGATTTTCGATGAATTGAACCAAATCTTTGCAGCCCTACAGGTGACTGTGCAGCTCCTGCTATAAACAATGGACCCATGAAGATCTGGGTTAGAATTGATCTGCAGCAACCCATACTTGTTGTAAGAGGCAACTATCAGGATCTTGTGGTCAGGCTCGCTGGCTTGGTTTATGTATGTCCCAACTGCGTAGATCGATGCTCATGATGTCAATCACTGGATTGTCTGATCCAGATTTCATTATTTACAGACTGTTGTTGTTTAGCTGGAATATTGCTGAGAATGGTGTTAAACAAGAAACAAACCAAACTTGTGTCGTCGCTATTTTGATGTTGAATAAAGGCCAGCTGTGTTCATAGTTTTCCTTCTTTTCTACTGTTGTGGGGTAGCCTAGTCGATAAAGCGTTCGCTCGTCATGCCAAAGTCCCAGGTTCAGTTGCGCACAATGTGCGAAGCCCATATCTGGTGTCCCCCGCTGTGATGTTGCTGGAATATTGCTAAAAGAGGTTCCACAGTGTGTGGCGTGTGGAGGTTTCACAGTGTGGCATATAGGTTAATCAGTGTTACATATGGAGGTACCACAGTGTCACATATGGAGGTTACACAGTGTCGCATATGAATGTTTCACAGTGTCACATAGAAGTTACACAGTATTACATATGGAGGTTACACAGTGTCATATGAATGTTACACAGTGTCACATATGGAGGTTACAAAGTGGTGCATATGGAGGTTACACAGTGTCAGATATGGAGGTTACACAGTGTCGCATATGGAGGTTACACAGTGTCAAATATGGACTTTACACAGTGTCACATATGGAGGTTACACAGTGTTGCATATGGAGGTTACACAGTGTCACATATGGAGGTTACACAGTGTCACATATGGAGGTTACACAGTGGTGCATATGGAGGTTACACAGTGTAGCATATGGAGATTACACAGTGTCACATATGGAGGTTACACAGTGTCGCATATGGAGGTTACACAGTATCACATACGGAGGTTACACAGTATCACATATGGAGGTTACACAGTGTCACATAGATAATACACAGTGTCACATATGGAGGTTACACAGTGTCGCATATGAAGGTTACACAGTGTCACATGGAGGTTACACAGTATTACATATGGAGGTTACACAGTGTCACATATGAAGGTTACACAGTGTCAAATATGGAGGTTACACAGTGGTGCATATGGAGGTTACACAGTGTCGCATATGAAGGTTACACAGTGTCACATATGGAGGTTACACAGTGTCACATATGGAGGTTACACAGTGTCGCATATGAAGGTTACACAGTGACACATATGGAGGTTACACAGTGTCGCACATGAAGGTTACACAGTGTCACATGGAGGTTACACAGTATTACATATGGAGGTTACACAGTGTCATATGAAGGTTACACAGTGTCATATGGAGGTTACACAGTGTCACATATGGAGGTTACACAGTGTCGCATATGAAGGTTACACAGTGTCACATATGGAGGTTACACAGTGTCAAATATGGAGATTACACTGTCACATATGGAGGTTACACAGTGTCACATATGGAGGTTACACAGTGTCACATATGAAGGTTACACAGTGTCATATATGGAGGCTTCTCAGTGTCACATATGGAGTTTACACAGTGTCACACATGGAGGTTACACAGTGGATTATGGCAGAGAGACTGGCATCACATATAGAAGCCACACTGTGATATATATGGAAGACACAAGGTGAAATGTCACACGTAGTGATCACATGCAGGGGCGGATACAGCTTTTAGAGAAAGGGGGGAGAGCACACTATCGAGAAAGGAGGGGTGCACACTTTATTTTCACGAGAGTTTTAATGGTCACTTAATAAACTTTCAGGACAAAAGAGGGGCACACCCCCCTCTGTATCCGCCTATGACATGGCGTTAACACTATGTGACATGGAGGACAGACTGTCAGATTGTAGTGAAGCTGCCACAAGTGGAGATCGCACTGTGTTATACATGGCGGACAGTGCTACAGATCAGTCACATAATGTCACATGTAGGTCACATGATGGCATACCGAGGAAGTCACAAATGTAACACATTGTGACTAGTGAAAATCATATGTAAAATGTCACACATGAAAATTATAGGTCACTCGTGAATGGCACATGTACAATGTCATACATGAAAATCATACGTCACTAGGGAATAGCATACGTAAAATGTCACACATGAAAATTATAGGTCACTCGTGAATGGCACATGTACAATGTCATACATGAAAATCATACGTCACTAGGGAATAGCATACGTACAATGTCATATATGAAAATTATTCGTCACTCGTGAATAGCATATGTACAATGTCATACATGAAAATTATACGTCACTCGTGAATAGCATACGTACAATGTCATGCATGAAAATTATAGCATACGTACAATGTCATATGTGACACTGTGTAACTTCCATATGTGACACGGTGCAACCTCTATATGTGACACGGTGTAAACCTCATATGCGACACTGTGTAACCTCCATATGTGCGACATAGCATGTAACCTCCATACATGAAAATTACCTTCATCGTGAATACGCATACGTACAATGTCATACATGAAAATCATACGTCACTAGGGAATGGCATACGTACAATCTCATACATGAAAATTATGCGTCACTCGTGAATAGCATACGTACAATGTCATACATGAAAATTATACATCACTCGTGAATAGCATACGTACAATGTCATATATGACAATTATACGTCACTCGTGAATAGCATATGCAAAGCAAGTTGATGACGACACGCAAAATGGAGCCGGGAACCAGTTTACTAACTTGAAAGGATGCTTGATTGTCATTTTAGAAGGAGGGGTGTCACCGTGTCACATATGTTTACCTGATGATGGGGCCAGAACAAGCCCTGAAACGTTGTACTCGAGAATAGAAAGAAGATGTAACCCAGAAAAATCTCTATGTTTAACTTGAAAGGGTTCAGTGATGTCAATTGGTTGTGACGACGCCAGGGCAACTGTTGACGTCACAATGTTCCACAAAACACTGTGATGCAGTTTCACTATATTATACCTCCTTTGCTACATTTCTCTTAGATACAATGACTCTCTAACGCTGGAGCTGGTTAGCAGGACCTTTATATTTACACCGGTATCAAACTGAATTTAGACAAAAATAGAATGTCGACGTCATGGGTTTTGATTCGTAAGATCAGCATTCGTCGCTAAACATTAAATTTATGCTGTCTACATCTTAAATGGAGAGAGGGGTGTGTGTGTGTAGATAAACAACCAACACTAATGTGTTATGTCATGTCTAAGACATACCTAGCAGGAGAGCGGAAGGTCGCGGGTTCGATCCCCGACCGCGTCATACCAAAAGACGTTAAAATATGGTACTTGTTGGTCCCTGCCTGGCGTTCGGCATTAATGGGTACAACAGGGACTGGTCGGCTCGGAGTCAGTATAATGTGTCTGAGTGGGGTATTCATGCTTCACTGCGGCGTGGTATCTCAGTGGACTAGCACTATAAAACCAGCTTCAGTCTGGGCTAGTACAAGCAGCCGCACAAACACACACACGCATGCACGTCGTCATATGAGCGAAATATTCTCAAGCACGACGTTAAACCCAAATTCACCTCACCTCACCTCACATACCTAGCACGCACATGTTCAGGGAATATGTTATACATACTTCACTACCATTCGATCAATACCCGTTAATATCCAAGTTAGTATTGTTCTTCAACTACCTATACATCTTGACGGGAGATACACGAAAATACCTTTTTTTTCCAGCGTGTAATGGAACCAGTTCTGGAAACCAGCGAACCGTTAAAGCTGATTTACGGCTGTACAGTTTATATTCAAAGATTGCTGATTGAAGGATGATATAATACGTATAAACCTAAATACACGCGTGCATACTGTTTTTAAAGCGGATTTTTGCAAAATCTTAACACCTCTTTCTGTCTTGTGCTGTTCCTGAGAGCAAACAATTTTCTGCAATAAACCATGCTTTTTAATATCGAAATGTAAGCCTTCGAGATATTTCACAAACTATTCACAAACAATATATTGAAGATAGGTCTGCCCTTTTTACATTCAATCCATTACTATAAATATTTTAGTCATCAACAAATACTATTAAATCGTTGCATTTTTCAATAACAACAAAATTATTTACATCCAATATTTAAATATTTTGGCCGGTTACTATTAAACAAAAAATATGTCTAATGTATAGGTGTGATTTCCACGTCCCTTTTTTAATCCCCTAGACACCCAACTTTCCCAGAAAATGGAGTCAAATTAACGCAAACAACCGACCGTATAAAACAAGAGAAAAGCGTTCCACAAAGCGGGGAATCTACGTATAAATCAGGCTCATTTGATAATACCGCTCTCGATCACCTCTTGGTTAACAAGAACAACCCACCACCACCACACACACTCTGACAAATGTTTGGGAGAAAACTATACTTTTACTATTCCTAATAATATATCTAATATCCCAAAACATCATAAGGGACCGTTCATAATTATATGGCGCGGGTTGGGGATATATATATGGTTATTTTAGGGGTCACCCATTTTGTTCTGGGGAGGTGGCATCAATTTTGTGCACGTTTCTAAGGGTGTCAGCAATTTTGTACATAAACATATTTAAAAATTATGCTTTAAAAATATGGAAAGGGGAGGGGGCATTGACTTTGTACATGACATGCAGGGGCGGGGCACTTACTTTGTACATACATTTAGGGGTGTCATTCACATTGTACATGCTTATCCATAAAAATCATCATCACCACCCTAGCCATAAATTATGAACGGTTCCTAAATCAACTTTTAATATGTTACAATGAAGTATAATATGTATATGTATGAGAAATTCAATAACTTAAATGTTATCACAGTATGCGGGAAATCTCATTCAAACATCAAATCGCGTTCAATGCCATAGTATAAATCAGTAACGAATGTACTCTGTATATTTTGTAGAGTGACAGTCACTGAATCCAAAGTTCACCGATAAGATCAAACGTGTTTGAAGCTGAACTACACTTTCGCTGTATAAGCAGAGACCATATAATAGATTATATGGTCTCTGGTATAAGCAACACAATTAACGTATATATACGTAACGTTCACTTTACATAACATTTACGAGGTTTATACAACTGTGGAAAATAGGTTTATATGTTACACAAGGGTGTTGATGTTTTGATTAAATAACACTTCACAACATGCCAACTAACGTGCGTCCCTGGAGGGACGAAGCGGGCAATGTGGCAACAATACGTAAGCGAAAACTGTATACGCTTTAGCCTGCTGTTACAAAGTTCAAAGGTCATGAGAACCGGAAGTTTCATCACAGACGGATAAAGCGCATGCTTGGTGACCGACAAAGTTCACTTTCCGTGTAAACTTGTTGGAGGCACATCGGGAACTGAGTCGAAAATGTTGCGTTCTGCCAGGAATTTCGTGAAGATTTGGGATGCTGTGGCGAAACAGTCATTGCTGAAGACTGTCGGGTATGATCTTTATGGTTTCAGCTCGTACTTTTCGTGGATTTTGAAATCGGTCACTCCAAACGTCAAACTCGTGCCGCGGGCTAGCAGACAGTTTTCTGAGTTGGACTTTGACCCCACGTTTGGACCCTAAGTTATATGACTGATTTGGATTAATAGTATCGTTTCTTGTCGCTCGACCTATCAAGTAGACTCAAATCGTATCAGTATATGTAAATGGCATAATTATTTTGAAAAAATACACATATTATATAAATCTTTTCATTGATCTTTCACTGCAGTTCTTCACACACGGCTGTTCAAAGATGTTATGCAAGCTCCGACGCAGAAGCGAGAAAGGTAATGTTTTCAAGAATGTATGAATTCGAAAATGTACAGTCTTACAATAAATTGAAATACTGGTAACAGATGTGCCAAAAAGAAAAATACACACGTACAAGTCAAACGATAGAAACGTTTGTCCATAACGTGACAACAAGTTGCAGAAAACTTGTAGCTAGGTGACTGATCTATGATTGTGAAGGTGAATAGATACATTTGGATTTCTCTCCACAGTATCTAGATCTAACTTTTGTCCCTTGTCTGAAGACACTGAACATTTAATATCAGAATTTTATTAAACTTAGGATAAAAGTTGTTTAACAAACGATCATAGTTTCAAATCATTATTATTGGTTTGTATTACAAGGGGGTATGCACATTAAATGAAACACCGAGAACATGTAGGGTTGGTCCAAGTTAACGCTTATCACGTACTGCACATGCATTTGTTTCAGTGTTCCAACTACCGCACTTACCCCTTTGTAATACAAACCAATAATAGCGATTTGAATCTATGATCGTTTGTTAAACAACTTTTATCCTAAGATGAATAAAATTCTGAGATTCAAATGTTCAATTGGCAAGGTAAAATTATGAGGATTCGCAATCTTAATTTCACTTTATTTGATTTACTTTCTTGTTTAAAGTGAAATTCATCGGCACGTTTTCACTGCAAACAGACTATAGATTCTACTGATAGCAATGATTTTTGGTTAAACTGTCGGCAAAGGAATAGAACATATCTATTGCCGGGTTTGTTTGACGCTACTAATATAACAACATACTAGCAGCATACAACAGTACACTGGTCCAGTCATTTTCTTTGGATGAACAAAGTAATTTAAGTTTGTAAGGCTTTTGAAATCAGTCAGTGGCGTGGCTACCATGATAAAAAAAAGCTCGGGCTTACACATGATTGTTGCTAAAAACATTGGGTAAGTCCTCAGTACTACCTAAATAATACACTTTTCCCCCTATCGGGCTTACACGAGAAAAATGACTTGCTACACGCCTGTCAGTGGTAAATTAACTCCAAACCAGCTACCAAAGAACCCTGCTTGGTTGAGTGGTGAGGAGCGGTTTTAGCCCAGTGGATGGAAGAACTCACTCGTCACGCCGAAGACCCTTGACCAATATTGCTAAAAGCGGCGTAAAACCAAAACTCAGTCAGTCGATTCCTCACATGGATACAATGTGTGAGGCGCATTTATTGATTCCCCGGCTGTGATGTTGCTGGAATATTCCTAAAAGTGTCATAAAACCACACTCAGTGGTACAGTTGTTACATTTATTACTGGTTTCTCATAATACTTATGCAAGCTGACTTGTTTTTATGACAGATAGTTGTTACACACATTTGGTGAATAGGTGAAAAATTCTTAACAAATAAACCTCTGAATTTAATCGGAATTATCTTGTCTTTTATTGCTACCATTTTATGGACATTCATCTTTGAGAATAATAATGAAGTAGTAACATTGTTGAACATTGTCTTTCTGGACAGGGAGAGCGGAAGGTCGCGGGTTCGATCCCTGACCGCTCCATACCAAAAACCGTTAAAATATGGTACTTGTTGGTCCCTGCGTGGCGCTCGGCATTAAAGGGTACAACAAGGACTGGTCGGCTCGGAGTCAGTATAATGTGTCATGCTTCACTGTGGCATGGCATCTCAGTGGGCTAGCACTATAAAACCAGCTTCAGTCTGGGCTAGTACAAGCAGCCCCGCACATACACATACACACGCATGCACATTGTCATATGAGTGAAATATTCTCAAGCCAATTTCACCTCACCTCACCTTTCTGGACAGCGCAGCTGTATCTGGCAGATGTGGTGGCATATAGTCAATGCCTCGTCTGTCCGTCCATAATCATTACATTTCCGGAGCATAACTAAAAACAAACGCTCAATAGTTTTCAACAAGAATTGGTATATGTAAGAACCTAGCCTTTCACTATTTACAGATTTTTGGTCTTTTTATTTTTCTGGATTTCCATGGAAACAATTTGGACTTCGTCTCAAAAAGAGGTGGATTTCATTTCCAGAGCATAACTCTTAAATTGCTCAATATTTATCAATAAAACTTGGCAGATATATGAGGCAGATCCCAAAGTGGTGCCTGTTGCTATTTGCAGACTTTTTGCATTTTCATTTTTCACGGTTTCGATTCAAACTTAGTCTCAAAAGGGAGGGGTGGCCTTTGTTTTCGGAGCACAACTCAAAAAGAGTTAAAGAACCACTAAATTTTGTTTTTTGTTACTCTTTTAACCATTACATATGAAAGATTTGTGGTTAGTCTTATGCGGAACACCAAATTTATTCTTTAAAAACTTGTGGTTAATTAATACCGAGCGATTAAAAGTTGCCAAAAAGTCGCCTGCTTCACTCTCGCCCGCCAACGATACCACAGACAAGTTACGTAACTCTGTCGCCAGAGCACTGCAGTGACGTCATATGAGGAACGATTTTCAGTTAGTTGTATAGAAAGTGTGTAGCACGCTCATCATTTTGATGATTTTCGACATCAACTATCACGACATGCCGAATCGTTGCTTTGTCGTCAATTGCTCCTAGGGTCGGGCGATGGAGTCACCATGCACAGATTTCCACAGGACCCGCAGTTCGTGCTAAATGGGTTATGTTTGTGAGTCGCGAAGCGAAGCGTTGTGGAAGCCTGAAACGATATCTTGCTTATGTTCAGATCGCTTCACGGAAGTTAAAGAATCAAAACTACTTACTAGTTGTAGTAAAATATGTATATGATTGATGACCATAAAGATTTTCCATGACACAACTTGTAACATAACGATTTCTTCCTCGGAGTGAGGTTGTGGTCGAAGTAACAATAATATTGTAAGTAGTATTTTATTGACACCCACCTCGCTGCCAGGAGAGAAATTGTTATGTTATACGCTATGTCATGCAAAATCCTATTGGCCATCAATAAAATACATATTTTACTACCAGTAGAAAGTAGTTTTGATTTTGTAACTCGGTGAAAACAAACCTAAACAGCATTTATCCTCAGACTGGCGGATGTTCCCAACAGGGCGCCGCCATTTTTGAAAATCGTAAAGTCTGTTAGAATTAATGAGATTATAGTTTGTTTTCATCAAGTTAGAAAATCAAAACTACTTTCTACTCGTAGTTAAATATGTATTGGAATCATAACCAAACGGACTTTGCATGACACAACTTATAACATAACGATTTCTTCCACGGAAGCGAGGTGGGGGTCGAAGTCACAATACTGCGCGATAAATTTCTTGCTACATTCACATGGTTAATGTCCACTCACCAGTATGTAGATACTAGTCAATGTGCGTCTTTATATTTGGTCTTATAATCCTAATTAGTTTATTATCATACTTGTATGCATTTTGAAACTAAATAAAAATCAGACGATCTGCTGATACTTATAGTGAATTTATAACAGAACTGTAATATCTAGACATTTTATAGTTTGCCAATGTGAATCATAATTCGCACACACACCATAGTGTATGTTGTCTGTCTCATTACACTTCACGGCGAAAACAATGATTCTGTTGAATGCTACGACAAATGAATAAAAACGACATGCAAATATTAAAATTAAAACAGATTAAAGTTATAAGAACAATATCAGGCCATTACCTTGTTCGAGGAATGTGTCCATCAATATCCACAAAACTGTTCCAAATGACGTGTCTTTTAACAGTTTAATATACGAAAAAGTGATAAATCTTTTCAGGTATTGGTGTATAGTCTCATTGGTCACCCAAGATAGCACACCTGGCAATTAATTGCATAATGTCCGCCTTTCTTTAAAAACAGTAAATTAGTTAGCCAATAATGGGCAATCAATCAATGTATTGCCGGTTAATCCTTTGAAAGAAGGACGTTGTTTTTACGCAGACACCGACACGACAGAGTGTATTCAGTATAGATTAGTAAATCTACATACATAAACACTACCTTTTGACCATTCCGCTGTATAAGATAAAAGTAATTAATCAATCAGCGTGTTATCGGTTAATCCTTTGATCGATGTTTATAATGTTGAATATTTACTCCAGACACAAGAAATGCCAAATGGGAACCTTTGTCGGGTAATCTAAGTGTGTTACCACTAATTATACCTGTTATAAATTCATTAACTGACCATCAAGTGAATGATGACAAATAACATGTGTAGGTTTATACCACCTAACACTGGTTACAACAAGGGAGTATTAATTGCTGTATTGCATGTGAAAACTTATGGGCCGACACTGTTTTGAGAATACAAACAGATTTTTAGATGACATGATTAAATATCGAGGTAAAAAAACACAGAAATGGGATCAATTTGGATCAGTCATTATACAAATTTGGGCCTAACGACACTAATCGATTTTGACAGAATCGTCTATGAAAACAAGTTGTAACTCGGAAACTAGGCAAAGCAGGAGACAAAATTAAATGACAGTAGATTGTGAGAACATATAGCTTTCATTTTCCACAACAATTGTCACGATTTCAGGTTTATACAAGCCTGTAAACAAGATAATTTACCCCTAAAATGTAGATGAATTCTGCATCGGCCCTCAAAGCTATTCCTCATATGACGTCACAGAGACGCGCCGCTCTGATTGGTTGAAATTTCGTTTGCGGGTGAGAATTGTGCACTGTTGTCAAAAAGGTTGATTTAAGTCAATTAAAGGTCGAAATGAGTAGTTTTAATGACGGGGTTTCATTTATAACGATGCCAGTTAGTGATTTATGTATTTGTACCCCCTAGGGTTTATGTGACCTTTAATATCTTTTCACAACACTTGGCAGATATATCAAACAGATCTTGAAGTGGTGCCTTTTGGCATTTATATTTTTCCATGGAAAGGATTTGGACTTATTGAAAAAATAATCAAGCTGGACTTTAAGTAACTGTCAGATGATTTATTCTTTCAAATATGTGGGGGCCTGGGGGATATGTCATCTTCTGAGTGACTCTTGTTCATTGTACTGAACTTTTGAATCACTGACAAACTTTAGTCATC